ATAATATAACATGTATGTATCTCTACATTCATGTACCTAGGCTAAGACACTGCCCTACCCACATTCCCTTCAGAGGCAACTGCACAGGTCAGTAAGACTCCAATACAGTGGCCCCAGATGACTGGAGCAGAGAAGCAAACGTGGCCCATGGCCAGTAGTCTGCAAGATGGCATGACACAAAAGTGTCACTCAACAGTCAGGAGCCTGATGATCTGGGTTCAAATTCACAACTCTTACTACTCATGTATCTTTAGGCAACTTTTTAACCTCTCAGGAACTCAGCTTCCTTATCTATAAAATGGGGGAAGTAACAGGATCTTCCACACAGAAAGACAGCTCCTTGGCCAACCAACTGGAAGAGATCCATATTCATGACCACTCCAAAGAAAGGCAATCAAACAGAATGTGGAAACTACCAAATAATATCATTAATATCACATGCTGGCAAAATTTTGCTGGATATAATTTTTAAAAGACTAAAGCTATAGGGAGCTCTGGTAGCGTAGTGCCTAAGGCACTTAGCTGCTAACCAAAAGGCTGGTGGTTCAAACCCACCAGCCACTCCTCAGAAGGAAAATGGGGCAATCTACTTCCATAGCGATACTGCTTCGGAAACCCAAGGAGGGGTCACCATGAGTCGGATCTGACTCGACAGCATATAACAACAACAACAAAGCTATACATCAACAAGGAGCTGCCAAAACTTCCAGCTGGATTCAGAAGAAGACATAGAACAAGAGATATCATTGCTGATGGCAGAAGGATTTTGATCAAAATCACAGAACACCAGAATGATGTTTACTTATGCTTTACTGACAACATGAAGGCATCTGTATAGATCATAACAAATTATAGATACATCGCAAAGAATGGAAATCCAGAACACTTAATTGTGCGGAATTTGTACAAGAATCAGGAGGTAGTTGTTCAAACACAACAAGGGGATGCTGCATGTTTTAAAACCTGAAAAGGTGTGCAGCAGGGTTGCACACTTTCACTTTGCTTGTTTAATGTGTGTGCTGAACAAATACTCTGAGGAGCTGGACTGTATGAAGAAGAATGCACCATCAGGATTGGAGGAAGACTCGTTAACAACCTGCAACATGCAGAGGACACAAGCTTGCTTGACAAAAAGGAAGACAATTTGAATCACCTGCTGATAAAAGTCAAAGACTTAAGTATGCATTATACCTGAATGTGAAGAAAATGAAAATCCTCACAACTAGAGCAATAAACATCATGATAAATGGCAAAGAAATTCAAGTTGTCAATGATTTACTTCTCAGTGTCCATGGAAGCAATAATCAACAAATCAAATGCCACATAAAAGGAGCAAATCTCCTGCAAAAGACCTTTTTAAAGATTTAAAAAGCAAAGATGTCACACTTGCCCCAAGCCATGGTCTTTTCAATCACGTCACATACATGTGAAAGCTGGGCAATAAAAAAAGAAAACACGATGCATTCAAATTTTACTGTTGGTGAAAAATCCTGAATGTGCTGTGGACTGCCAAAGGAATGAACAAAATCAGTCTTAGGAGAAATGTAACCAGAATGCTTCTTAAAAGCAAAGATGGGGAGACTTCAACGTCTTTAAATACATCATCAGGGAAGACCAATTGCTACAAAAGGACATTATGTTTGGGAAAGTAGAGGGGAGAGCAGAAAAGGGGGAAACTCAATGAAACGGACTGACGTGATAGTCACAACAATGGGCTCAAACGTATCAACAACCAGAAGCCAGGCAGGACTGGGCAATGTTTCACTCTGTGATACAAAAGTTCCCTATGAGTTGGAGCGGATTTAATCGCAACTAACAACAATAATCTACCATTCGTCTGTCAGTTTGTCATACCGTGGTGGCTTCCGTGTTGCTGTTAGGCTGGAAACTGCCACCAGTATTTCAAATACCAGCAGGGTCACCCATGGTGGACAGGTTTCAGTGGAGCTTCCCAACTGAGACAGATGGGAAAAAGGACAGGAGGGCAGCCATTCACTTCTGAAGAAACTGACCACTCAAAACCTCAGGAAAGCAGTGAAACCCCGTCCAATATACTGCTAGAAACGGACGAGTGGATTGTTCCGTTGTACCCAGGGGGTTGCTAGGAGTCAGAGCAGACTCGACAGCACCTAACAACCTAAAAACAACAACATTTAGTTTTATGCTTGAACACATTTCAGTAATCTGGTAATAAAAATACTATAAATCAGTTTTAGGGTTTCGTAATTTCTGTTTATCTTTGTAGGGGTCCACATCACTGACATTTGACAAATTATTACATAGTGCTTAAGGGCATGGGCTTGCATGTCAGAGACACCTGGATTGAAATCCTGGGTACATCAATTTCTGGCTGAGTGACAGAGAGCAAGTTTCCTCATCTGAAAAATGGGGATATAATAGCACCTTTACCATAGGATTCTGATCAAATAATGTATGCAAAGAGCCAACAGCAACTGGCAGACAAAACCCAATCAAAACTCACTGCCTTTGAGTCAATCTGACTCATAAAGACCCCCCATTGGATTTCTAAGGCTGTCGATCGTTACAGAAGCAGACTGCCTCATTTTTCTTCCACAGACAAGCTCGTGGGTTCAAACTACCAACCTTTTGGTTAGCAGCCAAATGCCTCAACCACTACACCACCAGAGCTCCTTGGTATAGATAGCAAATAAACAGGATCACTCTTCCTTTTTTTTTTTTACCAAAATAATACCAAATCTATTGCTGTCAAGTCAATTCTGACTCATAGTGACCATATAGGACAGAGTAGAACTATCCCCATAGGTTTCCAAGGCTGTAGTAATTTTTATAGACGCAGATTGCCTCATCCATCTCCCAGGGAGTAGCTGGTAGGTTCGAACTGCTGATCTTTCCATTAATAGCTGTGCCATGAGGGCTCCACTTTGATTAAAATAAGACATGTTTAAGGTTGAGCAGGAGGGGAGTTAGGAGACAATTCCTTTTATGTTTTGTCAGTGGGCAAAGGTCCTATGGGGATAAATAGAGAGCACAACATGCCCAAAATGTCTAAGAAGACTACTTGCTATGACATGGAGATGTTATTTCTGAGAAGGTAGGGCTCAGGGCATCTGGTACACACAGGGTTTCTCAAAATATAGAATGACTATTAATGGTGGCACAAGTGTGGACTTTGCGAGGTACATACGTGCATTAAATAACATGGAAAGCTTCATAATGGGTATGTTATTCCTGTCCAATTTCTTTCAATCTCATCACAACAGGAAAGACTCACTCTGGCTTTTAACAACACTCTTAACACTTGCCTGGCATGCTCTTTAAACAGGAACAAGCACTTTTACCCAGAGCATTCCTGGGAGACTGTTTCTAGTGATGATTCAACAGCACTGACTTGTTTTCATTATATGTTTGCAAGCACCATCTTATACTCGCAGCACATAACATACATTTTCAATTTGCAGTTGTGACACACAATTTTTTAAATTGATTACTATAAATATTCAAGCTATAAGTTTTAATATTTAGCAAATAATAGTACAGGTGGTATGTGGATGAAAAGGGTAAAACAAGTGACTAAAAGCTGGGGGAAGTGGGTCTACTGAACTGAGAAGTAACTTCCCTTGGACCACATTTCCTGTCCAATTTTATGCAAAAGCATTACAGATCCACAAGAGGGCGCCTCGGGAAAGTGAGTCCAGGAGCAATTGAACTGAATCTGGTAATAAACACTTAAACGCTTACATTTTCTACTTACCCCTTTTTCAGCCTCCCCCCTCCCTTTCTAGGCAATATATTGTTCATAAAATAAAATGACACAATCGCTCACCTATGGTGATTTGGCTAACACAACTGTAGTAGCTGCCAGTTGCAGAGGAAAGATTATAACTCCCACTGCTCACATCTTTGTCTGTTGAGAAAATAAAAAGACAGGTTAAGTATACCCTGGTAGACGCCATGGACCACAATGTAAATATATGACTGGTGGTAAATAACCAGCTCTCTGTGTCTGGGAGGTCCCAGGGTGGCACAAGTGGTTTGTACTCATCTACTAAGCAGAAGATTGGCAGTTTTAACCCACCCAGTGCACCAAGGAAAAAAGTGTAACAATTTTCTTTCATACAGATAACAGACAAGAAATCCCCATGGAGCAGTTCTAATCTGAAATACATGGGGTTGCCATGACTAATAATCAACTCAATAGGAAGGAGTATGATTTTTGCCCCTTGTCTGGGCAGGCAGTTTCATGCTCAATAAGCCCACCCAAGCCCCATGGGCTTATTCATGGACATTTTACTGCTGCAGTGCTGGGTGCCAGGCACTTGGGATATTTCAATAAAGCACCCAGACAGCCTCACACAGGCAATTTCAGTTCAGTATTAGAGAACTCTGGTGGCGCAGTACCTAAGGCATTTGACTGCTAACCAGAAGGCTGGTGGTTCAAACCCACCATCCACTCTGCGGAAGGAAGATGGGGCAATCTATGTCCATAAAGATTTACCACCTCAGAAATCCAATAGGGGATCGTTCAGTCAGAATAGACTCAACAGCAGTGGTTTTTTTGGTATGTTTATCACCATTATTACAATGGGGGACTGTAGAGGGTTGAAGGTGGGAGAACAGGGCAGGTAAGAAAATATCTGATCCAGACTAGAGGGTATCCAACTAAAAGGAGTGACACCTAAACTAAAACCTAAAAGGTGGGTATTATCCAACGAAGCTAAAGGCTGGGGCGGGGAGATGACTAAAATGGGGAAAAGACCCAGGCAGGGAAGCTATTGTGCCTGAAAGCTCAGAGCCTTAGCCTCCTAGGTTAGCAGCTGAACACGGAAGAGAAGTGAGCAGCAGCTGGACCACAAGGGTCTTCCAGACCATGTTAGCAAGTTTGGATTGTCTCTGAAGCAAGCTCACAAAGGCAACTGCTTGAGGCAGGGTGAGGGAGGCAAGATGAGAGGCAAAAAGACTGCTTTCTGAGGTCTCTGAAGTAATAATCTTGGTGGGAGGCGATGGTGGCCACGCAACCGGAGTGGCCATGGGAACAGAGAGCAGTGGATTCAATTCCCTTCAAGACTAAAAGTGCAGCACAGCACATTGTATTCCTCACTATTCCGAAAAGAAAATGTTCTATGCAGAGAGGTCAAAAGAAATCCAAACCTTACATTCATACATGTGGTCACATGCACAAAGTGGAATGGGACAGGCAACACTCCCACGTCACCGATGGAGACCCTGAGACTTCAGACAGCGGAGTGCCTTGTCCAAGGTCACACCGGCAGCAGATGGCAGAACAGAACTCAAGCCTAGATAAGAACTACTCCAAGCCATATATGAAACATAAAGGAACTCACGATATTAACAAACAAATTGTCTCACAGAAAACACTACAAGTTAGAGACAAAGAATCATCATCATAATGCTCGCAAAACTGACCTAAATGAGATATCTGAATACCGCGTGTAGGTGTCCCTGGGTAGTGCAAAGGGTTAATGTGCTCAGCTGGTTACCGGAGAGCTGGAGGTTCAAGTTTGCCCAGAGGTGCTCCACAAGAAAGGCCTGGAGATCTAATTTTGAGATGCCAGCCACTGACAACCCTCCAGAGCACAGCTCTATCCTGCCACACATGAGGCTGCCGTAAGTCAGGGTCAACTCAACAGCAACTGTTTATATGTTATGTGATACTAGAAACTTTACAGGTCTGAGGGAAGCAATCAATTATTAAGCATTAGTCAGATGTATCTAAACAGATATGGTTTCTGGAAACATACCAAGAGTCAGATTTTAATGAGAGTGACATGAATTGGTAGAGAAGAAGATGGCTTTGTTGGAATGTTCTTAGCAGGAAAAATGGCAAGTACTGGGACAGAGAAGCCCAGTAGCACAAGTCATCTGCACAGGGAGGTCCATTTGTGCCCGTGGCGTGAAAGCAGTAGAAAATTACTGATGTAAGCGGGTGGTAGGTCAGAGAACAGAGAACTGGAGGTGACCTCAGAGGCCACATCAGGCCACTGTAGGTTCACAAGCAGGAAGGTAAAATGTGAAGAAATATTTTTAAAGTATAAGAAGCCCTGATGGCACAGTGATTGAGCACTTGCTGCTAACCAAAAGGACAACAGCTCAAACCCACCCACTGCTCCATAGTTCAAAGACGCAATCAGTTTCCATAGTGATTCCAAAAACCAAAAACCAAAGTCACTGGCGTTGAGTCAGATCCAATTCATAGAGACCCCTCCTTGGGTTTCCGAGGCAGTATCACTTCAGAAGTAGATTGCCCAACTTTCCTTCCAAGGAGTGGCTGGTGGATTTGAACAGCCAGCCTTCTGGTTAGCCGTCAAATGCCTTAGGCACTGTGCCACCAGAGCTCCCTCCATGATTACAGCCTTGGAAACACTAAGGTTGAGGGATAGTTCTTCCCTGCCTCACAGGGTCACTGTAAGTCAGAATGAGCTCAGTGGCACACACAACAACCTATCTGACAGGGAGAAATAATTTTAATTACTGCATGTGGCCAACTCCTCTTCTGAGGAACTTTCCTGGACCTCGTCCACCCCCAAGGGTATAGACACACCTCCAACACAGCAAAGCATACTAGACCGTGACTGGGTGACATATCTCCTAAACCACGGGCTTGTCAAGGACAGGCCCATGTGTTACTCAATTTGTAACTCCCCCTGAGTGCTTAGCACAGTCCCTGGCATAAGGCAAATACCCAGTAAATGTTTAGCAGTTAAAAAAAAAAAAAAAAAAAATAGAAGGAATGGACTTAAAGAAAGAGCAAACAAAACTATTTCCCTTCTTATCAGTTACCATTTCCATAGAGGTTGCTGTGATCAGAGAGAAAGAAAGTTGGGAATTACAAGACCTGGGTTTGAAGCCCAACTTTGCTGCATATAAGCTATTGAACTGGTCAAGTTCTCAAACTTCTGTTAGACAGGCTTCCCTGCCTGAAAATGGTGACTATAATGCCTAACTCACTTTTTTGAAGGGAAAGAGGGTGAGAGACAAAGGTTAAGAAAAATAAATCAGCCACACAAAATGCAGAGTGAGCAAGTATAATTCCATGTATATTTGTGGAATCAGCTGAATGCACGAAACCCAGACCCAAACGTATCAAACTATTCTGAATATGCTGAAGCTGTCATGCCTAATTCCTCTGAAATTCTTCACTAGTGCTCTATGCTTAAAAGAGTTTGGAAGGGGAAAGTTCAAGGGACAAGGACAGGGGCATCAAAAACGCGCACAGAGAGCAAGAGATCCATAAGCGTAGAAACTGCAATGAATGGGGAAAGGCGAGGGGAGCCCTGGGAGCAGCAGCAAAGACTGAAGGAGCAAAGCTTGCTGGGAAACTAGTCATCAGCAAAGAAGCAGAATGCTTGAATTAGGAGTCAATGTCTGGGGAGAGGCACAGAATAAATTTGAATGGTAAAATTATTTCAATTAGAATTCAAATCTGAATGGTAAAACTAGGGCAATAATTTTGGTGGCAATATTTTGAAAAGACTCAAAGAGAAAAAGTAGAAAGAGCTCTAAAGCTACAGCCCAAGGTAACTGTGTGAGGAAAAGTGTTTTCACCTACAGGAACTAAAACAAAAATGCAAGATTTTACAGGAAGGTCCAAACATCCACTTAATTGAGACTATGAGCCCTGGTGGCACAACGGTTAAACACTTGGCTGCAAACAGAAAGGCTGGCAGTTTGAACCCATCTAGATGCTCCACAGGAGAGAGGCCTGGCAATCTGCTCCCATAAAAATCACTGCCCAGAAAACCTTACAGGGCAATTCTACCATCACATGGGGTCACTATGAGTTGAAAGTTGACCTGACAGAACCCAATGATGACAACAATTAAATTAATCAACTCTGTGGTTCTGAAGTCAGACCATCTGAATTAGACGCCTGCTTCCAACGCTTGGGCACATTATTTTCCCTCTTTGTGACTCTGCTTCCTCATTAATAAAACTGGAATCATAAAGGCACCGACATTACAAGAGCATTACTTGTACTATATGAGCTTCAAAATACTTAATACAGGAAAACATCTTTATATAACACCACTTAGTATAGTAAGTGTTCAATCAGTGTTAGCTATTATTTTTATTATTTATTTAAAAATAACAAAGTTATTCATAAAGTGGAATACTGTCTAGCAAAGAAAAATGAATAAGCTACATAAAATATTATAGATTAATCTCACAAACATAACGTTGAATGAAAGAAGCAACTCAAAAATTATCCATATGAGAGAACAAGTAAGAGAGAAAGAAGGGCTGCTCAGGCACAGGGAGACAGCTCAGGGGGTAGGAGCGCAT